CCGGGGTAGGTGATTGTGGGTGCCAGGACCCCTCCCGGCCGCCTTCGTCTCCCCAGCATTCACGTTTGAGTATCGCAGCAGGCGCCCTGCTGGGGGCAGGCGTGGGGGTGAGGGGGGGTGACGGCTTAAAAACCGGTCCAGCTGTTCGCCACTGACGATGGCCGTGAGCAGGAATCGAACCGTTCGTGACGAGCTGGGCGGGGCCTCTGCGTGAGTGGGCGGGGGCCTATGCGTGAGTGGGCGGGGGCCTGTGCACGAGTAGGCGGAGCCTCTGCGTGGGGCCGATGCGTGAGTGGGCCGGCGGGGGGGCCCGTGCACGAGTGGGCGGGGTCTCTGCGTGAGTGGGCGGGGGCCTGTGCACGAGTAGGCGGAGCCTCTGCGTTGGTGAGGCCGATGCCGTGAGTGAGCGGGGAACTGTGCGCTAGCGAGCGGGGGCGGGTGTTCGGGGAGCCTGTGCACGAGTGGGCGGGGCCTCTGCGTGGGTGGGCGGGGGCCTATGCACGAGTAGGCGGAGCCTCTGCGTGGGGCCTATGCGTGAGTGGGCCGGGGGTGGGGCCTCTGTGCACGAGCGGGCGGGAGTCTCTGCGTGAGTGGGCGGGGTCTCCTCGCGGATGGGCGGGGCCCGCAATGACGCGCACACGAGGAGGAGGGGAGTGAGATCAAAAATCGCGCACGCGCCGTGATTGGAGCGCGCGCTCGGTTGACGTTGAACCGAGGGGGAGCCCAATCAGCCCGTAATGCCCCTTAATGCCCTACAAAGGACGCAGTGTGCCATATATACAGGTCGGCAAGACGTCACAATGCCCTCGTTGCTTCAATGCCCCCCCTCCCGACCCAAAGTGTCTCATCAATTCACCCCCCCCACTACCCATGCCCCGTAAATGCTCTCCCATCTCCCTCATGCAGCCACCCCACGTGAGCAAATTATTGCCCTAAAACACCACACACTTCATCACGTCTTATAACACCACACACTTCATCACGTCCTATAACACCACACACTTCATCACGTCCTATAACACCACACACTTCATCACGTCCTATAACACCACACACTTCATCACGTCCTATAACACCACACACTTCATCACGTCCTATAACACCACGCCCTATAACACCACACACTTCATCACGTCCTATAACACCACGCCCTATAACACCACACACTTCATAACACCCTATAACACCACGCCCTATAACACCACACACTTCATCACGTCCTATAACACCACACACTTCATCACGTCCTATAACACCACGCCCTATAACACCACACACTTCATCACGTCCTATAACACCACGCCCTATAACACCACACACTTCATCACGTCCTATAACACCACGCCCTATAACACCACACACTTCATCACGTCCTATAACACCACACACTTCATCACGTCCTATAACACCACGTCCTATAACACCACACACACTTCACCACGCCCTATAACACCACACACTTCATCACACCCTATAACACCACACACTTCATCACACCCTGTAACACCTCGCCCTATAACACCACACACTTCATCACACCCTATAACACCTCGCCCTATAACACCACGTACACTTCATCACGTCCTATAGCACCACACCCTATAACACCACACACTTCATCACGTCCTATAACACCACACACTTCATCACGTCCTATAACACCACGCCTTATAACACCACACACACTTCATCATGCCCTATAACACCTCGCCCTATAACACCACGTACACTTCATCACGTCCTATATCCCAGGTGATCCGTGATGTTGTCTCGGTGTGGTCTGGGGATTGTTGTTGTTTTGCCGCCTTGCCCAGGCTTGCATTTAGCGTTGAAACATCGACCGAAATGTTACTATGTGCTTGTGCAATTTGTTCGTGCACGGGAGACTTTATTTCTAATTGTTTCCAGTGACTCGCTTATCTCTTCTCCACTTTGCACCACCTATCGTTGTCTCGTTGCTGTTGTACCTCGCTGACCCCGTTCCCCTACCGGACGTATGTGAACAAAGAGCTTCACAGCTCATCGGATTCCTCCTCCCGTCTAAACAAACATTCCGACTCGCCCTAACTCCACCGCTACCTCTCCGACAGGGCCTGGCGTACACGGGGCCTGGGTGGCAAACCCATCCCCCCCCCCCAAGCACGGGGCCCGGGACGGTCACCCCAAATTCTCCGTGTACTCGAAGGAACGACTCTGCCCCTCGGTGCTGTACGTAGCCGTCTGCGCTGAATCTCGTTGGTGCGGGACACATTTGGAGGAGAAACAATTGCCTCGTGTGCTAAGTGTGAGTGTCGTGGTGCTGCCGCACATTGATTCGGCCTCGAACGAGTGCCTGGGTGCGGTGTGTAAACATCGCCACTGGGGAGACAAAGGCGGCCGGGCCTGGTGCTGGCCACCCACCCCCTCGCGGGCCGTGACGGCCTTCATAAGGGTGCAGCACTTGCCCCAACAGTCTGTCAAGGCTATACGGGGGACTATTTTGTTGTTTTTGTGATACCAGATTTGTTACAACTTTGTTGGCGCACGTTCAAGGGGTTTCGTCTAACAGCAGAGAATACGGTAATTATAACAACAACAGCAATAACAATAGCAACATTGTAACGAGCGAATACGATTGCTCCGTGTGAAGTCGTGATTGCGTTTGGTGGTACTGGCGGTGGTGCGAGTGGGAGACAAAGGCGGCCGGGCGCGGTGCTGTCCAACCTCATCCCGTCGTGTGTACCATGCTGGCCTTCATCGGTGCTACTCGCTGACGGCACTTGACCCCAGTCTGTTGAGGCTACACGGGGGATCTTTGTCTCTGGTGCTGCCCGTTTGAGGATCCAAAGCAGGAATTGTAAACGGCCCGAGAGTGAGATGATGAAGCATTCGAGATGCAGTAGGATGAGAGAGAGAGATGTTGACATGAGATGGAGATGCAGTGGGATGAGAGAGATGTTGACATGAGTTGAAGATGCAGTGGGATGAGAGAGATGTTGACATGAGATGGAGATGCAGTGGGATGAGAGAGATGTTGACATGAGATGGAGATGCAGTGGGATGAGAGAGATGTTGACATGAGATGGAGATGCAGTGGGATGAGAGAGATGTTGACATGAGATGGAGATGCAGTGGGATGAGAGAGATGTTGACATGAGATGGAGATGCAGTGGGATGAGAGAGATGTTGACATGAGATGAAGATGCAGTGGGATGAGAGAGATGTTGACATGAGATGGAGATGCGGTGGGATGAGAGAGATGTTGACATGAGATGGAGATGCAGTGGGATGAGAGAGATGTTGACATGACATGGAGATGCAGTGGGATGAGAGAGATGTTGACATGAGATGGAGATGCAGTGGGATGAGAGAGAGATGTTGACATGAGATGGAGATGCAGTGGGATGAGAGAGAGATGTTGACATGAGATGGAGATGCAGTGGGATGAGAGAGATGTTGACATGACATGGAGATGCAGTGGGATGAGAGAGATGTTGACATGAGTTGAAGATGCAGTGGGATGAGAGAGATGTTGACATGAGATGGAGATGCAGTGGGATGAGAGAGATGTTGACATGAGATGGAGATGCAGTGGGATGAGAGAGATGTTGACATGAGATGGAGATGCAGTGGGATGAGAGAGATGTTGACATGAGATGGAGATGCGGTGGGATGAGAGAGATGTTGACATGAGATGGAGATGCAGTGGGATGAGAGAGATGTTGACATGACATGGAGATGCAGTGGGATGAGAGAGATGTTGACATGAGATGGAGATGCAATGGGATGAGAGAGATGTTGACATGACATGGAGATGCAGTGGGATGAGAGAGATGTTGACATGAGATGGAGATGTTGTACAGTACAGTACAGTGTTAGAAATAAGAGAAGGCAGATTCCGACAAGATTGCGATGAGACGGAGCAATCCGCCGTCACGTCAATGATCTTCAATATTGAGCTTTTTAATTTTGAGACATTTGGCGCTGCAGTTTTTTTCTCTCTCCTTTAAATCATGAATCCATTATCATGACCTCGGTAAATCTTGAGATACTTGTGGGGGCGCGGGTGATTGCTCACGCTTGTGCTAGCTTTGCTTGAAGCCTTGCACCAAAGACAAAGATCCCCCGTGTAGCCTGTAACAGACTTGTCGGGGCAAGTGCTGCTGTTAGCGAGCAGCACCCTATGAAGGCCGGCACGGCACGCGACGGGGGTTTGGGTGGCCAGCCACCACGCCCGGCCGCCTTTGTCTCTCCAGTGGCGATGTCTTTGTTACACACCGCACCAGGTGCTCATTTGAGGCTGAGTCGACCTAGGGGCGGGGGGGGAGGCCCAGGACCGGTTCAGATAACCGCCACTGGGTGTTGGTGGCCGCGAGCGGGAATCGAACTCGGGTCGCCAGGTTCGCAGCGCGACCCCGGCTACTACGCGACCGCTCCCCCATCCATCATCACCACAGCACCATCACCACCACAGCACCATCACCACCACAGCACCATCACCACCACAGCACCATCATCACCACAGCACCATCATCACCACAGCACCATCACCACCACAGCACCATCACCACCACAGCACCATCACCACCCCCACTGCGCATGTGGAGAGAGAGGAGATGGAAGGGGGGGGGAAGATGGAGCAGGGGGGGAGGATGGAGCAGGGGGGGAGGATGGAGCACGGGGGGGGTGGAGTGGGAGGGATGGAGGGGGGGGGCAGGGGGGGATGCAGGGGGGAGGATGGAGGGGGGGGCAGGGGGAGGATGGAGGGGGGGGCAGGGGGGGATGGAGGGGGGCAGGGGAGGATGGAGGGGGGGGGGCAGGGGGGGATGGAGGGGGGCAGGGGGAGGATGGAGGGGGGGCAGGGGGGATTGAGGGGGGGGCAGGGGGAGGATGGAGGGGGGGCGGGGGGAGGATGGAGGGGGGGAGGAGCGCGAGGGATGGAGGGGGGGCAGGGGGAGGATGGAGGGGGGGGCGGGGGGGATGTGCAGCGAGTTGCGGATTCGGCGCCTGTCTCGTATCATCATCACTCGGCAGCCAACCGGGATGTCGCCCCAACCCCCCCCACCCCGTCCCATCACCACCCATCACCCTCCTTGGTTGCGCAGTGAGTGTTAGTCCAGCGTGTAAGGACACGGTGTGCCATCATTTAAAAACAAAAAAAATCACCATCATAACGGTCGTTACCACCAACCCCACCACCACCATCATCATCGCGATCCGCTGGTTAATATATCACGCAGCGATGCGCGCGTAACATTTCCGCTGCTGCTGTTTGTTGCCGTCACGTTCGGCGTTGTAGCCTTAATAGGTGCTCGCGAAACAGCGCTTGCTGTTGTTGTTACAGTCCGTGATTCAATAGCAGCAGCAGTAGCAGCAGCAAGCTACGTCGTCGCCAGAGTCATCGGTCACAGCATCAGCTGTTGGCGCGTTAATTTCTGCTCCGACTGCATTTGGTTTCATTAGCTGGGTTGTGGTTAAAAGAAACACACCAAAAAATAATTCGCTGTGTTTATCGCTTTTAGTCGGTACGTTTTTTTTGTGCAGTTTATATAATTCAAAAATTACCATCATCATCATCGTCGTCACCAGCATCATCATCGCCGCCGCCGCCGCCACCCACCGATTCGTGATCATCAGCATTCTAAGCTCAGCGTTATAAACTGCAACAGGGGGTGGTGGTGGGGGGGGGGAGGGAAATAAATAAATCGAAAAACATTTAAATCGTCAATCATTCCTCTTCGTTGAATACTTCATCGCATCAATTGCCACAGTATCTACATCATCATCATCGTGGTGGCGGCGGCGATGATGATGATGATGGTGGTGCCGTCCGTAGCCATCCATGCAGTGGTGCTGGTGATGATGATGGTGGTGGTGATGATGGTGATGATGGTGTTGGTCCCGTGTTTGCGAGCAACTGTTCCTCTTCACTAAGCCGTCTGTCGCGGCTGCTGCCGTCTTTATAAGGACAACCTCTTCACCAGGCAAGGCTGTTGTCATCGTTCGTCTCTGATAAGCGTCGTCCTCGTCGTCATCCTATCGTCATTGCCCAATCGTCATCATCATCATCACATTCCTCATCCCATCAATATTTATTTGTTTCATTTGAAGCATCCAACCCGCCTCTTTATTTTTAAAACCTCTTTCAAACGCGCGCCGTGATTTTTATTATGGTTGCTCCAACTCGGCTGTTTCGTGTTACCACCATCAACACCACCATCAGCAGCACCACCATCAACACCACCATCAACACCATCATCATCAGTATCACCATCAACACCACCATCATCAGTATCACCATCATCATCAGCACCACCATCAACACCACCATCATCAGTATCACCATCAGCACCACCATCACCACCACCACCATCAGCACCACCATCAGCACCACCACCATCAGCACCACCATCAACACCACCATCAGCACCACCACCATCAGCACCATCATCACCACCATCATCAGCACCACCATCAGTACCACCATCAACACCACCATCAGCACCACCATCAACACCACCACCATCAGCACCACGATCAGCACCACCACCATCAACACCATCATCAGCATCACCATCAGCACCACCATCAACATCACCATCGCTACCATCATCAGCATCACCACCACCATCAGCACCATCTGCACCACCATCAGCACCACCACCATCAGCACCATCTGCACCACCATCAGCACCATCACCACTACCATCAGAACCACCATCTGCACCACCATCAGCACCACGATCAGCACCACCACCAACACCATCATCAGCATCACCATCATCAGCACCACCATCAACACCACCATCGCCAACCATCATCAGCATCACCACCACCATCAGCACCATCTGCACCACCATCAGCACCACCACCATCTGCACCACCACCATCAGCACCATCACCACCATCAGCACCATCACCACCATCTGCACCACTATCAGCACCATCTGCACCACCATCAGCACCACCACCATCACCACCACCATCTGCACCATCACCACCACCATCTGCACCACCACAACCATCACCACCATCTGCACCATCACCACCACCACCACCATCTGCAGGCCTGCGGGTGAAAGTCTCAACGCGCAGGCGGTTTGTGTGATGTCGCGTCCCCGGGTGGTTTATCCGACATTCGACCAAGGCGGCCCCTAAGAACGGCCTATAAATAACCATCTCTTTAATAACCACCTCTTTAATAACCATCTCTTTAATAACTATCTCTTTAATAACTATCTCCCCTTTCTCGATCCCCGGACGTGGGAATCGCTGTCGCCCTGCTCGCAGAGAACCCGCGGAATGTCTGTGGATTATTGAACTTCGTGGAGGCGAGGGGAATGTTGAGCGGCTTGATTCTCGCTTGGAATACCCACGCGCTCGGAGGTCCCCATATTCGAAAGGATCGAACCCCCTTACAACAACAACAAAAACACTCGCCCATCAACTGGGATCGGATCCCTTGAACCGGGGTGGCTGTGTGTGTGTTTGTGTGTGGGTAGGCGAAGAAAGAGATACGCTTTGGAGGCAAAATCCACCGGATCTGAATTGAATTTGCATTTCCTGGATCGACGTCGCATGCAAAAGGTGGCTCGAATTGAGTCCACTTGCCTTGAGACCGAATCGCCGGCGTCTGTGCCCGAACCGGGATCGGGATTAACGGGGGTCGATGCGCGCCCAGGTCGCCTGGGTGGAAGCAAGATCGAAGCGGCCGTCTTCAGGGAGCATCGAATGGCCCGGGATGTGAGGTCGGATCTTTGTGGATTCGTGACGGGAGGGAATCGGTCGGATTGGGCTCGGGAGTTAATCGGCGCGGGAGTGAATCGCGGGGATTGAATATCACGTGGCCTGTGTGCATCACGTGGCCCTGTGTGCATCACGTGGCCCTGCGTGCATCACCTGGCCTGCGTGCATCACCTGGCCTGTGACATCACGTGGCCTGTGTACATCACCTGGCCTGTGACATCACGTGGCCTGTGACATCACGTGGCCTGTGTGCATCACCTGGCCTGTGTGCATCACCTGACCTGTGTACATCACCTGACCTGTGGGCATCACCTGGCCTGTGTGCATCACCTGGCCTGTGACATCACGTGGTCTGTGTGCATCACGTGGCCTGCGTGCATCACCTGGCCTGTGTACATCACGTGGCCTGTGTGCATCACCTGGCCTGTGTGCATCACCTGGCCTGTGTGCATCACCTGGCCTGTGTGCATCACCTGGCCTGTGACATCACGTGGCCTGTGTACATCACCTGGCCTGTGACATCACCTGGCCTGTGTGCATCACGTGACCTTTGTACATCACCTGGCCTGTGTGCATCACCTGGCCTGTGTGCATCACCTGGCCTGTGACATCACCTGGCCTGTGTGCATCACGGGGTCTGTGTGCATCACCTGGCCTGTGTGCATCACCTGGCCTGTGACATCACGTGGTCTGTGTGCATCACCTGACCTGTGTACATCACCTGGCCTGTGACATCACCTGGCCTGCGTGCATCACCTGGCCTCTGTGCATCACCTGGCCTGTGTACATCACGTGGCCTGTGTGCATCACGTGGCCTGCGTGCATCACGTGGCCTGTGTACATCACGTGGCCAGTGACATCACGTGGCCTGTGTACATCACGTGGCCAGTGACATCACGTGGCCTGTGTACATCACGTGGCCAGTGACATCACGTGGCCTGTGTGCATCACCTGGCCTGCGTGCATCACCTGGCCTGTGAGTGACCCGTACCTGGACTCAAACTGGAAGTTTAATCTCGACGTGCCGATCCACTTTGGACGACCGCCGGCTCTGCTCTGGAGCTGAGCCACCGACGCACGGCCTTTGATTCGGATTCATTCACCGTCGCACAGATCAAATCGCCCGCCGTGAAGATTGCATCGGAGCCGGTTGCGCCCGGACCGCCCGGTGTGTCGAGGCGTTCCCCGTGACCCGGTCAGCTGTACGTCGTCGCTGAAACCCCGCCGCCGGAAACAGTTGGGTTTTTTTTGTTAGGAAAGACCTTCCCGACAAGAAGAGATTTCGAGACGGAGAGAGGGCAGCCTTGAATATCCACACTTCAACAGCAGTATCGGCGTCAACAGCAGTAATCAGCATCAACAGGAGCAACTGCACCAGCAGGAGCAGCAGCAGCAGCAGTATCGACAGCAGCAGCGGCAAGAATACCACCACTCACACCAAAGGCAAAGATCTTCCCCGCACCCCCCGTATAGCCTGTAACAGACTGTTGGGACAAGTGCTGTTGGCGAGCAGCACCTGCCAAGGCCGGCACTGTGGCACACGAGGGAACGGTGGTGGCCAGCACCACGCCCCGGCCGCCTTTGTCTCCCGCCACCACCGGTGCCACACCAGCAGCACCAGCGGCAGCAACGGACGCTGCGGCTCGTCCTACTTGCTCCGCCGTCTCGGTCGCACGACGTCCGCCGCCGACCGGCCACCCCCCCCCCCCCGCCCCCTCTCCCGCCCCCCCCAACCCCCCACCGCGTCTCCCTCGCCGCCGCCACCGCTCTGTGTCGTCGGCGAAGAGGGCGGCGAGCGGCTGGCGGCTGTCGCGACCGGACGGTGGTTAAAAAAAAAAAACATTAAATTCGCGGACAAAGTTCACGGCCGGTGACGTCGGCATCGGTGGTGTCAGCGGCACGGCCGTCATCGTCGTCGGGGGTCAACGCCTGGGCCGTCATCGCGCCGTGCCGGCGTTGGTGGCCGCGCCGCCGCGCCCACGTCGGTGTTGGCGCCGGGCGCCACTGCACGTGTCCGCGCCGGTGCCACCTCTGGTGCGAGTGCCGGCGCCGTTGCCGGGGTGAGAAGACCGGCGACGGCTTCGTCGTCGTCGTCGGTGTCGTTGGTCGTCGTCGCCGCCGTCGTCGCTTGGTGTCGTCATCCTTTCCCCAGGGGGCTAGAGGTGACCGCCGGCCGTAGTGTCCGTCCGGGGCCCGTGGACCGAGCCCCCGCGGGGCGAGGAGCGGCAGCAGACGAGGAGGGAGGCCGACGTGGAGGAGGAAGGGCGGAGAAAGGAGCGGAACAAATTAGAGGAGGAGGAGGAAGAATAAGAAGAAGAAAGGAGGAGAGGAGGAGGAGGAGAAGAGGAGAGGGGAGCAACACAAAGACGACTAAGCGGACGACGGTGGTGAAGAGGTGACGAGTAGGAGGAGGGCACTGGTGGTGGTGGTGGGCTAGCCGGTAGAGGTGCAGCCGGTAGTGGTGCAGGAGACGGAGGACGAGGAGGAGGAGGAGGACGAGGTGCGGGTGAGTCCATGGTGCCATGGGTTGCGCCCCGAGCATCCACGTGTCGCACAGCGGGGTGCTGTACTGCCGCGACTCGGACGACTCCACGTCCCCACGCGCCACGGCCACCGCCACGGCCTCCTCGCAGGCCGCGCCCTCGGCGCCCGTCGCTGCCGCCGCCCTCGCCGACGGCGCGGCCTCGCCGCCCGCGGCCGCCGCCTCGCCCGCCGGGCCGCGCGCCGTCGCGCTCGCCGGGGCCCACGCGCTGCGGGAGGGCCGCCCAGGGAGCCGGGGTCGGCGCGACGGCGACGGCCGCCGCCGTCGGCGCCGCCGCCGGCGGCGGCCGCGGCGCGACGGCGACGGCAGGAGGAGGAGCAGGAGGCGACGGAGATGAAGGTGGCGGTGACGGAGGAGATTGCGGAGGAGGCGGCGGCGGGGGCGGCAGCATGGAGGCCGAAACTCAGACGAGCAGGGCGAGCGGCAAGGTGAGCGAGCCGGCGGCTGCTGCCTCTTGCTCTGGCTCGGCGAGCTCCGATCTGGGCGCGGGGTGGTCCTGACGGTGCCGTCCGTGGTCTGGCTCTGTGAGTTTCGGCGAGTTGAATTTGAAACTCGGACGAGTTTCCGGCTTCCACGGCGTCTTGTTTTGTTGTGCCACGGTCTGAGTCGTCGGGGGGTCTGAGTCGTCTGGGGGTCTGAGTATGGGGATCTGAGCCTGGGGGTCTGAGTCTGGGGATCTGAGCCTGGGGGTCTGAGCCTGGGGGTCTGAGCCTGGGGGTCTGAGCCTGGGGGTCTGAGCCTGGGGGTCTGAGTCTGGGGGTCTTGAGTCTGGGGTCTGAGCCTGGGGGTCTGAGTCGGGGGTTGTGTGTAAGGGAGCTCTTGTTACCTTGCGGACATCGTGACGGAGTCTTGGTCTGGCTCATTGAGTGTCTGGTATTGTTAAGGTCCCTTGGTCTGGCTCATTGAGTGTCTGGTATCGTTAAGGTCCCTTGGTCTGGCTCAATGAGCTTGATAATGGCCAGTAGTCTTCTCATTGGTGATGTGCCAGCGATCTGTTAGGGTTTGAGTCGGGGTTGGGGTGAAGGTTATGAAGATATGCTGATTGGGTAGACCACCAACACAAATACCGGTGTGTACGTAGTGTGTGTGTACGTAGTGTGTGTGTGTACGTAGTGTGTGTTTAGGTACATAGTGTGTGTTTAGGTACATAGTGTGTGTGTGTACGTAGTGTGTGTGTGTATGTAGTGTGTATATGTGTACGTAGTGTGTGTACATGTAGTGTGTGTGTACGTAGTGTGTGTGTACGTAGTGTGTGTTTAGGTACATAGTGTGTGTGTGTGTACGTAGTGTGTGCACATAGTGTGTGTGTACAGTGAGGGAAAAAAGTATTTGATCCCCTCTGATTTTGTACGTTTGCCCACTGACAAAGAAATGATCAGTCTATAATTTTAATGGTAGGTTTATTTGAACAGTGAGAGACAGAATAACAACAAAACAAATCCTGAAAAACGCATGTCTAAAATGTTATAAATTGATTTGCATTTTAATGAGGGAAATAAGTATTTGACCCCTCTGCAAAACATGACTTAGTACTTGGTGGCAAAACCCTTGTTGGCAATCACAAAGGTCAGACGTTTCTTGTAGTTGGCCACCAGGTTTGCACACATCTCAGGAGGGATTTTGTCCCACTCCTCTTTGCAGATCTTCTCCAAGTTATTAAGGTTTCGAGGCTGACGTTTGGCAACTCGAACCTTCAGCTCCCTCCACAGATTTTCTATGGGATTAAGGTCTGGAGACTGGCTAGGCCACTCCAGGACCTTAATGTGCTTCTTCTTGAGCCACTCCTTTGTTGCCTTGGCCGTGTTTTGGGTTATTGTCATGCTGGAATACCCTTCCACGACCCATTTTCAATGCCCTGGCTGAGGGAAGGAGGTTCTCACCCAAGATTTGATGGTACATGGCCCCGTCCACCGTCCCTTTGATGCGGTGAAGTTGTCCTGTCCCCTTAGCAGAAAACACCCCCAAAGCATAATGTTTCCACCTCCATGTTTGACGGTGGGGATGGTGTTCTTGGGGTCATAGGCAGCATTCCTCCTCCTCCAAACTCAGCGAGTTGAGTTGATGCCAAAGAGCTCCATTTTGGTCTCATCTGACCACAACACTTTCACCCAGTTGTCCTCTGAATCATTCAGATGTTCATTGACAAACTTCAGACAGGCATGTATATGTGCTTTCTTGAGTAGGGGGACTTTGCGGGCGCTGCAAGATTTCAGTCCTTCACGGCGTAGTGTGTTACCAATTGTTTTCTTGGTGACTCTGGTCCCAGCTGCCTTGAGATCATTGACAAAATCCTCCCGTGTAGTTCTGGGCTGATTCCTCACCGTTCTCATGATCATTGCAACTCCACGAGGTGATATCTTGCATGGAGCCCCCAGGCCGAGGGAGATTGACAGTTATTTTGTGTTTCTTCCATTTGCGAATAATCGCACCAACTGTTGTCACCTTATCACCAAGCTGCTTGGCAATGGTCTTGTAGCCCATTCCAGCCTTGTGTAGGTCTACAATCTTGTCCCTGACATCCTTGGAGAGCTCTTTGGTCTTGGCCTTGGTGGAGAGTTTGGAATCTGATTGATTGCTTCCGTGGACAGGTGTCTTTTATACAGGTAACAAGCTGAGATTAGGAGCACTCCATTTAAGATTGTGCTCCTAATCTCAGCTCGTTACTTGTATAAAAGACACCTGGGAGCCAGAAAGGGGGTCAAATACTTATTTCCCTCATTAAAATGCAAATCAATTTATAACATTTTTGACATGCGTTTTTCTGGATTTTTGTTGTTGGTATTCTGTCTCTCACTGTTCAAATAAACCTACCATTAAAATGATAGACTGACCATTTTTTTGTCAGTGGGCAAACGTACAAAATCAGCAGGGGATCAATTACTTTTTTCCCTCACTGTACGTTGTGTGTGTGTGTGTACGTAGTGTGTGTGTACACGTAGTGTGTGTGCGTACGTAGTGTGTGTACGTAGTGTGTGTATGTGTACACGTAGTGTGTGTGTGTACACGTAGTGTGTGTACGTAGTGTGTGTGTGTACGTAGTGTGTGTGTGTACACGTAGTGTGTGTACGTAGTGTGTGTGTACGTAGTGTGTGTGTACACGTAGTGTGTGTACGTAGTGTGTGTGTGTACGTAGTGCGTGTTCAGGTATGTAGTGTACACAGAGTCTGTGTGCACGATTCTACTACGAACCCCGCCGCTCACGGCCAACACCGGTGACGGTTATCTGAACTGGTCCTCAAATGAGTGCCTGGTGCGATGTGTGAACATCGCCACTGGGGAGACAAAGGCGGCCGGGTGTGGTGCTGGCCACCCCCACTTCCGTATCGGCCTTCATAGGTGCCCGCTAACAGCATTTGCCCTGACACTCTGTTAATGCGAGATGTTAGCTCCCTCGCCTGGTATGCAGGAGGGCGTGGGTTCGATCCTGACCCCGACGCCTGCTGTACAGGGGCGGAGCCAGGGGGATGACAGGGTAGACAATTGTCACCCCCGACAAAAAAAAATAAAAAAAATCTAAAATCTGAAACATTCTGCGTATAATTGTACGACACTCGGTCTGGCGGACTCCGTGCAACTGCGTTGTCAGAGTGTGTCGCCAACCGGTGGCGTCTACTAGTTCAACAAGCCTGACTCTCTAATCATTCTTGAAATTAAAATTTGTTGAATGTCACCCCGGGCTGAAAATCCTGGCTCCGCCCCTGCTGCTGTATATTAGGAGTTTGCGTGTCTCTCTCTCCCTCCCTCCCTCCCTGTGGTGTCGTGGATTT